AAGTTGCCCAGATGGGTCTCGAACCCACGGGCTCAGGCAATCCACTCACCTCAGCCTCCCAAAGCGTGGGATTACAGGCTGAGTCACCGAGCCTGGCCATTATCAACATTTTAAATACCCGATTTACAAACAAAAAGATCAAAGGTTTTCCTTTTCCCAATCTTCTTCATCCTTCTCCCCAGAGGAACATTGTTTATAGCTTATTACATATCCTTCTAAAATTGTGGCATTCAATAGAAATATAATGTGAGCTGCCTATATAATTTTAACTTTTCTAAGTAGCCACATTTAAAAAGTAAAAAGAGTTGGACACAGTGGCTCATCCCTATAATTCCAATTAGTTGGGAGGCTGAAGTGGGAGGATCACTTGAGGCCAGGAGTTCAAGACAAGCCTGGGCTACACAGCGAGAACCCATCTCTAAAAAAATGTTTAAATTAGCTGGGTGTGGAGGTACTAACCTATAGTACCAGCTACTTGGGAGGCTGAAATAGGAGGAACACCTGAACCCAGAAGTTCAAAGCTGCAGTGAGCTATGATCATACCACTGCACTTCAGCCTGGGAAACAAAGAGAAACTCTGTCTTTAAAAAAAATCTTAATAGCCTGTCCTTATAGGTTAAGTTTGATTTTTCTCTTTAGCTTTATGAATGTCCTTGTTGCCTCAGAAAGTAAATGAAATTTTTTAAAAAGAAAATTACTGAAAATAATTCCAATAATATAGTTTGTTTACCTCTATATGTCCAAAATATTATCATTTCAACAATCTTTTAAAAATTGTAAATGGCTTGGTTTTTACATTTAACGTAATCAGAATTAAATGAAATTAAAAATCAAGCTCCTCAGTCACTCTGGCCACATTTTAAATACATATGTAGCTACCATATTAGACAATACAATTCTAAGAATTTCACTATACTTTACAGTTAATTAATTAATTACCTGTTACTTTTTTTTATATCCTTATGCATTAATGCCATCTAACAGTAGGTCTATCTTTTTTAATGGCTTCATAGTACACCACTGTATGAGTGTGTAGTAATTTAATTTTCCAGTCTAATAGCTATGTTGTTCTTCTTTTTTTCCTTTCTAAAAACTCCCTATATACTGGTGATATTAGCCCATATATTGCTTCCAAGTTCTCTCCATATGTTGATGTACATGACACAAAGTAAATGCTCCAAATACATGCACATATTTAGAAAAAAATGAAGAAAAAAACACAAATGTTACATTGTCTATCTCCTTTGCACCCCTAGATCTTTTCTTAACTGCAAATGTTCCTTTATTATTAAAATGTTCAGCAGTTCAAAAACTGTTGTCTTATACAGTTATCTATATTTGCTCATTCTATAAACCAGAGGAGACTGAGCTAAAAACTACCTTGATGCTATATGATAATGATTTCCTAGCCACTGACAACTCAGAATCTCCCATTAACAACACCAGCCAGAAAGTAAAATTAAAGTTTAAAAGAAGGCACTGTTCAAAGCCAGGGCTGGAACTATGGAAGTCCTTATAGGCTAATGAAATCTTAGGTAAGAAAGGCAAACTTGCAGAATTTGGTTATAAGGTTAATACCTGCAAATTAACTTCTTAAGAAAGGTCAGCCTTAGCCCTGCAATTATTTAAAGATGATTTATTTTTAAAAGTGAGGTCAATAAGTTTATTCAATCTACCAAGATAGGAAGGAAGCCGAGGTTAGACACCTACAAGTTCACAGATACAGGTCTTCAGCTAACACCAGGAAGCTTCACAAATTTGCTTCTGGGGCAGAACATAGGTGTTGTTCAACATAATTTAGTCTGATATATTTCAAAAGGTCTCTACTCCTACTGGCCAAATTGATTTCATTATGTGAGCAGCTGATGCCAGGGCGAGCTCTAAAGCTAACACATACTAAAATCATGACATATTTTCTTTTCCATAAAATTAACAGGTTATGAAAGCTTCGTGCCTTGGCTGTGTTTTCTCCACTACTACACCCATGCCTGGGCCAGTGACAGTTTGCTGAAGACTAATAGCAGCAAATGAATCAAGTGAGTAGCCAATTCCTTCAGAACTAGGAGATGGCTGTTCTGGCCGAAGTAGAGCTGGCTCTGTGCAGAGCATCGAGTTCTCAGTTGCCAACACATGGCAATTTGAGAAGCACCTCAAAGCCCCACCTTTCCCAAAATATCTCTTCCACCAGCCTGCTAAGGTCCTCCCCTCTTGTCTGGCTTGAAATTCTAGCCTGTAATCCCACGCTTTGAGAGGCTGAGGTGAGTGGATTGCCTGAGCCCACGGGTTCGAGACCTGCCTGGGCAACTTGGCGAGACCTTACCTCTATAATAAATCATAAAAGTCAGCCGGGCATGGTAGTACATGCCTGTAATTCTGGCTACTCGGAAGGCTGAGGCACAAGGATCACCGGAGCCCTGCAGGTTGAGGCTGTGGTGGTACTGCACTCCAATCTGGGTGACAGAGTGAGACTCCAACCCAAAAAAAAAAGAAGAAGAAGAAGAAATTCTAGACATCAGATTTTGTCTTTTTATAGTTAGGCTAGGGAATAATTTTGATGATGGCATGAAATATGTATGTTTCTTGGGAAGGTAGAAAAGCCCAAATAAAAATATCTGCTATTACTCAAAATTGGTCTCTTCATTATCAAAATAATTACATTTGGAGAACAAAATCCTAGACCCTACTAGAATAGAAAAGAGGTAAGTTTTGGCTGATGCAAGAAGCAATACTTAAAATATTCACTTAAAAATTGCATCACAATTTATAACATGATTGTCAAAAGTAGTATTCAAATGTTTTAAAAATGCTATATTCATCTCAGTTTTTCACCTCTGTAAATTATCTGTTCTTTTTAGGATTCTCAACCTGTTTTAGGATTCTGATCTAAATAAAATAAGTTCTCATCATCTTCTGTATAATCTTTTTATGTAATTCTTGCTAAGAATGGCATCAAGTGTTAAAGAACGAATTAAAAAGACCTACCTGGGTAAGACAAAACTTAATAGCAAATAGCCAGGGAAACATGAGGATACTAAGTACTGAGTGGGGAAACAGAAGGGTGGGAAAGATAGTAGGATGAACACAGCTACAAAGTCACCCACCCACATTGTCAAAAGCAACCACAGATACAACTGACCATTCTGGGTTCTTTGAAACTATTAACAACACCACTAATGATACTAACCTGGTAGAGCCTGATGATATGGGGGTGGCAAAGCATCTTCATAATTTGAACTTCCCGGAAAATCTTTTTCAAGTTTTCTTCATCCAGTTGGGTCTTATCGATGATCTTGATGGCAACCTGAAAACAGAGGAGGAACATTTACTCTGATGCATTATTAAAAGCAGTTTACTAAGGAAAATTAAATCCACTTTATACAGTCCACAAAATACAAGCTGCCAGTATTTTGTTTACAGAATGTCAATGAGGAAAATTAATTTACTCTTTTTAAAAAGACAGCAAATGGATTTCTAGCAAGTTGGTCTCAAAGGAACAGACTCCAAAAGCTAATGGGTCTTCTGCCATTTCTTAAATTGCTTAACAGTAAAACCCCATGACAAAACACTTCATTACTCAACAGATGTGGTTATGGTCTGGGTTAAATCATGCTTCAGTGCAGAGAGAGGTATATAGGGCCTCTCATTAAGACAAGAAGCTTATATCGTAAGTACATAATATTTTAGTAAGGTTATACCAGAACTTTAAAGGGCTTTCAACATCTTACCAGGTGCTCATATAACTCAATAATAGTAGGAGTGGTGGTGGTGGCAGCAGCTACCATATACTGAACGTTTCCTGTGTGTCAGGGGCATAATTCTTAGTCTACTGTAAGAACCAACTCATTTATACCTCATAATACCCACATTATTATTAACCTTGTTTTATATATGCAGAAACTGAGGCACACAGAGAATAAATAATTAACCAAAGATTACGCAATTTACAGCTAGTACATGGCAGATCAAGGACTGAAGCCCAGGTAGCTTGACTTTAGAAGCAAACTCTTAATAAACTGTTGTGAGAATCTGAAGCTTTCTTTACCATACATACACTGCTTCAGCATAAAACTTCTCTTTCCAATTTGCCCATTTTTCTTATGATACTCAGCAGCACAAACATTTTACAACAGAATGAAAGACCACAAACTTTTTTAAATCTACTAAATCTAAACTTCTTCATTACTCTCAGTAAAATACAACATCTGTGTTGCTTCCAAATATCTCTATATCTCAGTTTCAATTACTTAATCGTATGTATGTAAGCAATATTAGTTAAAGGACCTTGGACTAGTCAAACTCAGGTCACCTCCAATTCTTAAGATTCCATGACTCTACACACTGAGGGAGGGAAAGGAAACTTATACAGTACTTACTGAGAAAAAAGAAAAGACCAGGGAAACAAAATTTCATCAGTAAAAATGTTTAGCTCAGAGAAATAAAGATAGTTTGAAGCCATACATGATAGGTTATTCAAACGTATGAATGACTAGCATCACAGTAACTTTATTTGGAGTTGCCTCAGATGTTAGCACAAGGACTAATGGGAGAAAGGTACAGGGAGACACATTTCAGCTGTAATCAAAGAGCATTTAAGCCCTGCCTAATGATGGAATGTGATAAAAATGAGTTGGGTTTGACTGTAACTACAAGGATTAATCAGACAGCCTGAACTTCAAGGAGACCATAGTCTAATAGGGAAACAAGATATGTGAAACAGATAACAATACAGCATTGGAAGTACAATCAATAGAGCTATGTACCAGGTATAATGGTAGAACAGAGGATGATAAAAGGCCTTTACCTGTGAGAAGAGGTAGACACGGAAAGACTTCACAAAGAAGGCAGAATTTGACTACAGAAAGAAGTGGGATAGGCAGAAAAGAGGGCAGAGAATGTAATATATAGAATCTCACCAGGTGCTTGATCTCCTGTAAGAAGTCTTGAACCATCTGACCCTTTGACTACCAGCATTTCTACTTCTCCTCATTACAGCACCAGATCACATACAGGACCTCAACTCCAACAATTGGTCTGGCGTCTGTTCCTGCTTCTCTCAGGGCAGCTCCCAAAACAAAAATCATGGAAAACAATGTCCCTTTATAAAACAAATAGCTGGGTCTTAGAGCGACTATTAATAAAATCTATGCTGGGCTCGGCGGCTCAGCCTGTAATTCCACGCTTTGGGAGGCCGAGGTGAGTGAATTGCCTGAGCCCACAGGTTTGAGACTCGCCTGGGCAACTTGGCAAGACCTCATCTCTACAGCAAATCAAAAAAATTAGCCAGGCGTGGTAGCGTGCGCCTGTAGTTCCGGCCACTTGGAAGGCTGAGGCAGAAGGCTCGCCGGAGCCCAGCAAGTCGAGGTTGCAGTGGCCGAGAGCGGCCACTGCACTCCAGTCTGGGCAACAGAGTGAGACTCCAACTCAAAAATATAAATAAATAAATAATTAAATAAAATCTTACATGTGAATGGCACCTTTTAGTGTAAAGAATGATTTCCTATACATAAAAGCTTAGAAACTTACAGACATATGCCCATAGCAGAACTTGCAAAGAGGTGTGCTAGAAATAGCTTACAAATGCCAACAGTCCAGCTCTAATCTCAAGGAGCCTCATTTGTTTACCCCAGAGGAAATACCACTTTCTGTGCTTGCCACAGTGTGCAAAAGGCTGGAAGCACTGCTAGCATTTATTAATTTTAACAGGGGACACCAACTGTCTAAGAATTTTGCCTGAAATCGCCACCTCTGCCTACACTCTACTAATTGATGGCAAATACAAAATAATTGGGAGGAGGGGAGCAATCATCAAGGCAACTGACCAAATTTTTGTACTTTTTCACCTCCAAGAGCGTACTGGGTCACACTGAAGTTGAGGAAGTCATACAGTGGAACCTCCCTAACTGACAGTGCACTAATTCTAAATTTCATTTGCATTCTGAAGCAAAAGCACCTTCATAAGGGTAAAGAGAAAACCTAATTATCCATGAGAACAGAACTCGCTGTCACAATCTTTATTTTATTATTATTACTTTTTTAAGAGACAGGGTCTTGCTCTATTGCCCAGGCTAGAGTGCAGTGGCACAATCATAGCTCATTGCAAGCTCAAACTCCTGGGCTCAAGCAATCCTCCCACCTCAGCCTCCTAAACAGCTAGGACTATAGGCACAGGCTACCACACCTGGTTAATTTCTTTTATTTTTGTAGAGACAAAGTCTCACTATGTTGCCTAAGCTGATCTGGAACTCCTGGTCTCAAGCAATCCCCCAACCTGGACCTTTCAAAGTGCTTGGATTACAGATGTGAGCTACCATACCTGGTGCAAGATCTTATTACGTATACCATGTACCTAATAAATATTTTTAGTTTAATAAGATAAAAGTATAGTACAGATGTAGTGTTACATTTTATAATAAGTATACCTGACTTCACATGAAGGGAATATGGTTCTACATATTGAAATATACTCTTAGTATTTTACTGAAGAATTTTCCCTTTATAGTCATACATGAAACTGACTATAGTTTAATTTTGTGGCCCATTTCCTAACTGGTTCATTTTTGCAAATAAAGCATATGAGACTAACTTAAGATGACAGGAGTATCTTAAGTTAGTGGCATAACTTACACAGATGATCCTTGACTTACGATAATTCTACTTTACGGTGGTTTCTACCCTTTTCACTTAACAGTGGTACAAAAGCAATACACATTCAGTAGAAACATACTTCAAATTGTGACTTCTGATCATCTTCTAGACTAGCCACACGTAGTATGATCCTCTCTTAAGATGCTGGGTAGAGGCAGTGAGCTCCCAGCCAGCCACATAATGATAGGGGTAAACAACCAATACTCTACAATTTATTAAATGAATTTCTGACTTACTGTGTTTTCAACTTATGATGGGTTCATTGGGACATAACTCCACTGTAAATCAAGAAGCATCTGTACTAGAAAGAATGCCTTCTGTTGACTGTAGGTAACAATAATTTACTGTATATTTCAAAATAGCTAGAGGAATAGATTTAAAACATTCCTAACACTAAGAAATGACAAATGTTTGAGGTGATGGATATCCTAATTATCCTTATTTGATCATTACACATTGTATACATGTATGAAAATATCACATGTACTCCCATAAATATGTACAAGTATCATGAATAAATAAAAAATAAATACACAAAATTTTAAAAGAAATGTATTCTTATCAATCTGGAGAAAACTGCATTAAGTATAACCTGCTCTTAGAAGGTGGGTACACTGCTGGGCTCAGTGGCTCAGCCTGTAATCCCGCACCTTTGGGAGGCTGAGGTGAGTGGATTGCCTGAGCCCGCGGGTTCGAGACCCGCCTGGGCAGTGAGACCTCATCTCTACAATAAATCAAAAAATCAGCTGGGCGTGGTAGTGCATGCCTGTAATCTGGCTACTTGGAAGGCTGAGGCGGAAGGATCGCCGAAGGCCAGCGGGTCGAGGCTGCGGTGGCTGGGAGCGGCCACTGCACTCCCAGTCTGGGCGACAGAGTGAGACTCCAACTCAAAAAAAAAAAAAAAAAAAAAGAAGGTGGGTACACAGAAGTTTTAACAGATTGAGACATCAAACTCCTGTCTACTCTTCAGTGAGAGCCAGGATTCCACAAGACACCAAAAGGTGAAGCTTTGCCCCACAGCTGAACGTAGTGCCAAAAACAAGGACTGGAGTCAAGCGATTATGATTCAAATTCTTGGAACTATCCCTTAATGTGTAACCTTGAGCAAGCTTATTTAATTTTTCTGCGGCTCCTTATCTATAAAATGTAGGCAACAATAGGACCTACTTTAAAGAGTTGCTGGGAATTAACTAAGCTAATACATGTAACCTGTTTAGTATAAGGTCTAACACGTGGTAAACACACGATACATGTTAATTACAGGTTTTGCTGTTCTTATTATATTTTTTTCTGGAATCGGGCCTTCAACTCTAGGCGTTTCTTGGCAAGGATTCGATTTGCTTCACTAAGCAACAAAATTCTGAATCTGAAACACATCAACTCCTTATTCAAGGGGCAAGTTGGGGGGCCAAGGAGCAAAATAGCTAACAATTAGTGGGCAGCATTCAGAACAAACTGGCTGCTGCCATTTGATGTGGGAAGAACATGGAAGGAACAGAGCTGGGGGAAAAATGCATTCCATTCAGGAAAGTCACACTGAGCCACAGGATGGAACCCATAGCAAGACCTGATCCTGAAGGCCGTACAGAGAGGCAATGGCCTGCCTCTTCACTGCAGGCCAGGCTCCCCTGACCATCACTACTGGGCAGCTA